TGCCCTTGTTTTGGACTCTAACTTGCATGATTTGAATGAAACTAACCCGGACTGACGTTGTTTTCAGCAGAACTGCCATGATGTTGTTTTATGTGTAGAAAAGAAAAGTTCTCGGAATGTCCTGGAAATCCACGGAGGCACTTTTCAGATTTAATAAGAATTTTTGGTGAAAGAATTAGTGCCAGGGGGCCCACAGCCTGTCCACGAGACAGCCCCCCCCCCTAGGGCGCGGCCCCCTATCTTGTGGGCCCCCTGGACACCCTCCGACCTCAACTCCAACTCCATATATTCCGTCTCGGTGAGAAAAAAATCGAAGAAAAAAGTTTCATCGCGTTTCACGACACGGAGCCGCCGCCAAGCCCTAATCTCTCTCGGGAGGGCTGATTTGGAGTCCGTTCGGGGCTCCGGAGAGGGGGATTCGTCGCCGTCGTCGTCATCAACCATCCTCCATCACCAGTTTCATGATGCTCACCGCCGTGTGTGAGTAATTCCATCGTAGGCTTGCTGGACGGTGATGGGTTGGATGAGATTTACCATGTAATTAAGTTAGTTTTGTTAGGGTTTGATCCCTAGTATCCACTATGTTCTGAGATTGATGTTGCTATGATTTTGCTATGCTTAATGCTTGTCACTAGGGCCCGAGTGCCATGATTTCAGATCTGAACCTATTATGTTTTCATGAATATATGTGTGTTCTTGATCCTATCTTGCAAGTCTATAGTCACCTATTATGTGTTATGATCCGATAACCCCGAAGTGACAATAATCGGGATACTTCTCAGTGATGACCGTAGTTTGAGGAGTTCATGTATTCACTATGTGCTAATGCTTTGTTCTGGTTCTCTATTAAAAGGAGGCCTTAATATCCCTTAGTTTCCGCTAAGTCCCCGCTGAACACGGGAAGGTAGGACAAAAGATGTCATACAAGTTCTTTCCCATAAGCACGTATGATTATTTACGGAATACATGCCTACATTAAATTGATGAATTGGAGCTAGTTCTATATCACCCTATATTATAACTATTGCATGAGGAATCGCATCCGACATAATTATCCATCATTGATCCATTGCCTACGAGCTTTTCACATATTGTTCTTCGCTTATTTACTTTTCCGTTGCTACTGTCACAACTACTACAAAAACCCAAAAACATTTATCTTTACTTTTGCTACTGTTACTATTATTATCATACCACTTTTGCTACTAATTACTTTGCTGCAGATACTAAGTTATCCAGGTATGGTTGAATTGACAACTCAACTGCTAATACTCAAGAATATTCTTTGGCTCCCCTTGTGTCGAATCAATAGATTTGGGTTGAATACTCTACCCTCAAAAGCTGCTGCGATCCCCTATACTTGTGGGTTATCATACATCAAGATCATGCCAAATCAAGAACACGAGAGAGAGAGAGATCAAACACATAGCTACTGGTACATACCATCAGCCCCGAGGGTGAACTACTCCCTCCTCGTCATGGAGAGCGTCGGGATGATGAAGATGGCCACCGGTGATGGATCCCCCCTCCGGCAGGGTGCCGGAACAGGGTGCCGATTGGTTTTTGGGGGCTACAGAGGCTTGCGGCGGTGGAACTTCCGATCTAGGTTATTTTCTGGAGGTTTCAGTATTTATAGGAATTTTTGGCGTCGGGAACAAGTCAGGGGGGGGGGTCTCCGGGCTGTCCACGAGGGTGGAAGGCGTGCCCTACCCCCCGGGCTCGCCCTCCTATCTCGTGGACGGCTCGGGACTCTTCTGGCCCAACTATTTTACTCCGGGGGCTTCTTTTGGCCCATAAAAAATCATCAAAATTTGGCACGTCAATTGGACTCCGTTTGGTATTCCTTTTATGTAGAACTCAAAAACAAGGAAAAAACAGAAACTAGCACTGGGCTCAAGGTTAATAGGTTAGTCCAAAAAATCATATAAAATAGCATATAAATGCGTATAAAACATCCTAGATGGATAATATAATAGGATGGAACAATCAAAAACTATAGAAACGTTGGACACGTATCAAATACGCTGTCCAACAAGTGTGCCTTCATATGCATGCTCCTCGTGACACCCATTGGGCTATGGTGAAACGTATTCTTCGGTACATACGTGGCACCACAGCCATGGGTCTCACCCTGACGGCATCACCTGACACCAGCCTTGTCGCCTACTCCGATGCCGACTGGGCTGGGTGTCCCGACACTCGACGCTCTACTTCCGGCTAGTGCGTCTACCTCGGGCCCTCTCTGATTTCGTGGTCGTCTAAATGACAACCCACGGTCTCACGATCGAGCTCCGAGGCTGAGTGCCGGGTTGTGGCCAACGCCGTCGCCAAGTGCTCTTGGCTACGACAGCTATTTCAGGAGTTGCTATGTGAGGTTACCAAGGCGACGCTTGTCTACTGTGACAACGTCTCCGTGGTGTACCTTGCTGCCAACCCTGTCCATCACCGACGGACGAAGCATATTGAGCTCGACATCCATTTCGTCAGGGAGCACGTCGCACTTGGTCGTGTTCGCGTTCTACATGTGCCCACCGATCAACAGTTCACCGATGTTATGACGAATGGACTAGCCACCTCGACATTCGAGGGCTTTCGGTCCAGTCTCAGCGTCACCGGCGACGCTTCGACTGCGGGTGGGTGGGGGGGGGGTGTTGAACATGTGTACATGTACATAGGTCTGAGTTTCGTATGTAATACATGTAGTGTCTGTCTCCCTCTGTATGTACGTGTATCTTAGGAGACAAGATACCGGTCGCATCCCTTGTACATATATATGTGCCTAGTGCATGACCAATCAATTATCGATGCACCAAATCATTATCCACATCGCGCATGCAGAAATTATTGTGTTGTGGGGGCACTTGAAGCAACTTTCCACTCAATCTGAACTTTAGGTGGAACCGGGCATTGTCATATGAGATTCGAGCTAGGTTGCGGGTTGCCGGAACGCCGCCTCGGGACGGCAACACCTTGTTGCGCATCCATATGTAATCTTGGTAGGAGTTTCTTTCAACAGTAACACTTGCTAGGATTTTATTTTATGGATGAAAAGCGAATAAATCATACCTCGGAGTAGCAGTACTATACATGCGTAGGTTTGTTTTTATATATAAAAAAAGCAAAGAAGGGGAAGTGTTGTTCTGCTTTCAGATGTATACTGTGTGAACTGTAAATTCTAAACAAAGATTAGGTAAGTGCCCGTGCGTTGCACCGGAAAACATTATGTATGCATCGATGATATACCAGGTCATGCTATTAAAAATTAACTCAACCAGAAACTTTGTTAGGCTTAACCCTCCTTTTGTTTAACATCACACGTGAGCAATGCATGTATTTTCTCAAACAAAAAATGAAGGTGGAGTGAACGTCAGCATATAATTATGTAAAATCCAAAGTAGTCCATAACTCTATAATCTATATGCATTAATAACTTATATGATATGCAATTCATGTCTTTGATCCATTAAAATTCACAAGAATATTTTTGAAAAATCCACAAGGCAAACACAAAAATTCTGAAAACATATATACCTGTGCAAGTTGGCTAGCAAGTTGACTGCTAGCCCAATTGCTTGCAACGTCTCTATATAGTTCCACTGGGAGAACGGCACGCTCGGTTGACTGCTAGCCCAATTACATGGGATATTTTGTGCCTCCCAATTGCTTGTGCCAGCGTTGGGAGAGCGAGCTGCTATGAACGTCACATTTAGCAGATGATCCCACTGTATCACCGCCGGTTGCAGCTGGCACTACCCAATCCTCGTTCCAATTAGCCGCTAGACGCTTGGTGCTGCCGAACCGAGCGAGACCTCGTGCCACACTATTCGCACCGCAAGGCGCTGCTTCATCCCTCCCCTTTTTTATCCCTCCCCTTTTTTCACCAGACCACGGCTGCCGCAGGGTCGCCTCGCACATCTCTTTTTCTTCTTCCCTCGCTAATCGCCTCGCACACCGACCGCGCCTCTACCAGCAACCATGGCGCCCGCTCTCCTCGCTGCTCTGGGCATCTTCGTTGGGAAGCAACCCCTCCTCTAGATCAGATTGAGCGGGGGTGAGGTGGTAGATCAGGCGGGTGGGTTTGCAAGGAAGAAGGAAAAATAGGAAACTGAACGGGGAGTTACGGGAGCTAATTAAGGGAATCGGGAGAGGTTGCACAAAGGGAAGACACGGGGTATCAACGAAACAATTGACGTAAGAGGGGAGACGGAATGGTACGTTTTTTTTAGATAGTAGAGAAACCTAATAAAAAAACTTTTTGTTTTGTGACAAACATTGTTGAATGTTCTACCACGTGCAAAGATTAGTGATGAGAAAACATGCACGGAGCTCTGCTCAATTGTTTTTTAATTTTTCCCAAATGCCTAAAAAAGGTACCATTTTGGATATTTTTTTTGCCCAGACCTCGACAGATATTTCTTCGTCACCAAAATTTATATGCCAGTAAAAATTCATCAACGTTTATTGCAAAAAAAATCAGTTTTTTTTTAAATTTACTTCTAGTTTCTAGTATATCTTTCTGATTGTACTGTTCACCTGGTGCATATGCACCCGAGCGCACAAACTCCATGCTGGCAAAGAAGTGTAAGAATCGGTTAAAGATTTTTTTTAGGGCATGAGTTTTATTTTATTCGGGCCCATCCGTCCATTCGATCCAACATGTTCACGGTAGTGGCCCATCCTTTTCTCCCCCAGGCCCGGCCCTGCCCAGCCCGGCCCGCGCGAGCGCGTCCTCTGGCTTCGAATCTCCTCGCGCATGTCTCAAAAAAAAAAAAAATTCCTCGCGCAGCATCTCCACCCCTCTTCTCCCCTTGCGAAAGAAAGAAAGAAAGACAAAACAAAACCCGAAATAAAAAATAAAAATAAACCAAGAGAGAGAGAGGGAGGAAGGGCGGAAGGCGGAGTGGAGCGACCCCGAATAACCCTAGCTTCTTCCTGGTCCTCGTCGTCGCCGTGGCCCTCCTACTCGCCAGCCACCCGGCCGGCGCCCCGATCCCGCCGCCATGGTGCTCGGCAAGATCGCCATCGTCATCGGCTC